GGGCGGCAAAGGGGGCCGCGTCCCCGCCTGGCACCATGCGACAGGAAGAGCGCCGAGGAGCAACAAAAATACGAGCGCGTGGGGAGCACGTGGTGGGGAGAAAAGTTATGAATGCGGCGCTCGGCTCGGGCGACCGCGCCCAACGGGCGGCATCAAGTGGGAAACGCCGAGCCCTTCCTTCTTGTTGCACCAAAAATGCGTTTTGGGCACTTGTTCGTCACGCAGGCTGCCGCGCTTTTCGTGGGGGAGCTGCGAAAAAGGGAACACGCAAGCTTTTCGGATCTCCCGTAAGCGTCGGCAGAATAATTTAGGACAAGAACACACGTAACAAATTCGATTCCGACAATGAAAGTAAACAACTGTCGCATTATTTTTACGTCATAAAAGTGACCAAAAAAGCTATTCAAGGGGGAAGAAAAAGGATCGGGAGCTCAAATAACTCAAAACGCTTCAATAAAATGACAACTTTGTTGGACATTTTTGACTCGGCCACGCCGTTCAATGTACTGCAAAGTCGCCGGAGGCGATCTGATCAAGTCGCTTATAAGATAATTGGCGAAAGGTAAGCTACATGCTAACCACATATCATGTCATGGGGAGGGTTGACTTGCGCAATACCAATCCAACGACTTCAACGGCTCGTTTGAAGGATTTTGGAGCATGTTTGTACGTCAGCCCAGGCCAAAAAAAAAAAATGTTAACGTTAAGACCCGTCAATTCAGTAATTGTACTTCCAGGAACTTTATATGGCAACTTAAATGCGAGCCAAAATGGATGCCATGTCATGCTGGAAGGTCATCGCGGTGTCAAGTATGGACATTAGCGTCTCATAAAGGCTCCTGTCAAACCGCTCCCGAATGTCTTTTAAATCCAACCAGCTCAATTTAAGAGACATTTAGAGAACATCTCTCCATCTTCGTCAGTGTGTGGAAGTCAGGGCAACCGCAGAGGATGGGTGTGGTTTTTAGGCAGGTTTAAAAAAAAAAAAATACAGCGAGCGAGCGAGCGATCAGACCCCTTCCTCGCAATGCAGAAGCGCACCGCTCTCCTTCTCATCCCACGTCGGCTCACACGCGCTCGAATCCAAAACTGCGTGGCGCCACGCCGCCGGCCGCTGATTGGCCGCGCGGCCGCCGCGCCATTGGTTGTTGCCAAGCAGTGAACGCAGCGAAAACAAGACAGCGTGGTCCGGGCGGCTACCGGCTCCTGCCTTGTTTTTCCTCCTCGCTCGCTCGCTCGCTCTCCTTCTCCGAGTGTCCCACCTATTTTTTTTTTTTTTTTGCGTTTTTGCCCCACCCAAAGTGCTGCAGTGCTGCAGGATGTGTCCTGCTGCCGACTTGTCAAAGTCGCCGCTGACCTCGTAAATCCAATCTGCCGCACGGGGGGGGACAACTTTTCCCAAAACAGGCAAACGACAAATAGCCCCGGTTGAAAACTAAGCGTGCACAAGACGAGCTTGACAATGACACAAATGTCAGGCGAGAACCAGTGGTCGGTTGATGTGTTGCGGTGCAGCGCCAAACTGGACGGAAACTCAAGTTTGCCGCAATTTAGCTGCGCCTGGCGGTGCAAATTTGGTTGCAATATGACCAAAACGCAGCATGTTCACCTTTCAAAAGAAAAAACGTCACCACCACATGGCTGCTTGAGTCCCAAATGCGGACTTCCTGTCTGTTTCCAGGCACGGAGGCTCATGGCGACCTTTTTGTGAGTCTGCGACTGAATTCCACGTCGCTCAGTCAAACTCGTTTTAAGGGCTGCACGAATGCCTGCGTCAGACCAAAACGGCAATGAGCTGTGAATCTTCAACCATGGCTTCTTGAGACTCTTTGGTGGGTCTT